AGATCAACTTATAGCCACAAGAATAGAAAGTGTGTTGTCTCGTAAGGGATGACCTGGTGGTGTGGAAGTGGACTCGTGACCGTGAGGTCATGGGTTTGAACGCCCGACACCTCAAGGTCACCTATTATACATGATTTGCTTAGTTTGACTTGCCTTATTAGGTATATGAGAATTATGAGCACACTTTTCCTCGTTACCCCGAAAAATAAATTTTTTTGTCTCTTCAGAATTCAAAATCGGTTGGAACCAGTACATTATTTGATAATAATAATCATTACTTTGCTTAATTTTATGGTTTCATATCATGAATTAATTATTGAACATAATCGTATAGCTTCCATGATTGCGGATTCCCTTAATTACTAAGGGGTTTTAAAAAAAGTTCTATAGTGAGCATGTTGCTCGTATGAAAGTGGAACCATATCTTGATATTTCGGTTTAGTGGGAGCTAATTAGTAATGTTCAAATATAGTTAAGGTTACTTTATTTTATACTACAGTATTCAGTATGCACTATTCATTATTCAGTATTCAGTTTTAGTTTAATATTCAATTGTTCTGAAATAAAGTTAAGGTGAATCAGTTAGAAATAGACATGTTAAGATCACACACATGAAATTTCTATGTTATGCATACGCACTTGATCGAATCTTAGGTTGTATTAGTGTTGTGACTACTGATCGGTCCCATTGCGATAAATACAGTGACGGCCGTTTTGATCCGCATTGATGTGATTTATAGATAAGATTGGTAAATTACAATTATAAATGTGATAACAAAATTTTCATGAGCTCATAAGTTTATTCAATATACATTTACCCAAGTGGGAGATTGTTGGATTAAAAATCTAATTGTAGGTTAAATGTAACTATTTGGGCTATCAATTAGATTAAGCTTATTTTAAGTGATCTATTAATTTATTAGGCTTAAATGTATTTAGTAAGTTCGGGCCTCCTATGTGCAGAAACCCGATAACATATTAATTGAGTGAAGAAGTCAATTAATAATAAGGGATATAAATTATAGTTGTGATCCTAAGTCTATACGCAACAACCATTACTTTCATATCTCATCGTGAGAGTAATGACGTAAACCCTAGAGGTTTTTCAGGAGGGATTGTGTCATGGGCTTGAAGAACACAAAACCCCCAATCAATTCGTATATCCGAATCCACTTGCGCTAATGGCATCAAGTCAGATTTAATTGCTTTATTTTCTTCTCTCAATTAGTTCAATACGACATATCCTAAGCTTAGAGTATAATTCCTGATTTCTAACACTTCTTCCAATAAGACAACATAACAACAACCACAATCAAATGCAGAATGCTCTCTCCGCACAATAACAGTCTCATAATCATCATTATTATCAATCTTTGATAACCCCATCATCCGTCAAGAATACTAACTTGAAAATCCAAGCAGGTACCACAAACCTTAATTTTAAAAGTTCTCAATTTTAGTTCTTTCAATTATGCAAATCAATTAATCAAATTTCATGTGTGAAGTTTGTAGAAAAGGGTTCCAAAAGCATATTAACAAGATACTTTATAAAGAATTAATTAGCAAGGTGAATATTCGGAAAAGAAAAATTTGTTGGTATGCACAAAAAGAATAACTAATATTACAATCTTTGCCCGTCCCTTAATTCCACCGTTAGATTAGAATATAATACAATGGATTAGGGCTAATCAATACAGTGCTGATTAGTCTAATCAGTATATTAACTGCCGCATAATATTATATTTGTATATTGTACAATTTAACAAAAAAAAAAAGATCAAAACACTCCTTTTAGTATTATACTCTCTAGTCTTACATATTCTACAACATTTTTTATTTTGATTTGTTTAACATATTTTGTAATATTTTCAAAATAGAAAATTATTAATATACTTTATTTTATCACACCACTCAAATAGGAAAATAAATATACACTTTTGTTTCTCTCATCACATCACATCATTTTCATTTTATTATAGCCACCTAATTATTGTGCCAAAATCAAATTGTCGCTTCTTCTATAAGACACAAGATGGAATATAATATAAAGATAATAATATTTGTTTAATATATTATAAATTCAAAATTTTTTATAATATTAGTGGATAGTTCAATTACTTAAATATATTCAACATAAATAAATAAATAAATAAATTTTTAGAAAAGAGAGAATATAATATATATAAATTCGCACAATATATATCAAATATATTCCTTATAAAATATTAATAATTTTAAAAACATACTTTTTTCATCCGGCTCTAAGAGTCTCATTTACCTTTTGTGTCGTTGCACTTAACATTAAAGATATTATTATATTTGTATAATTTTTTTACAAATATCATTATAATAGTATTATAAGATATTAATAAAAATATTTTTGCTATTTTTCCTTAATTTGTACTATATTTTAATATAATAATTAATATTCAAATATCAACACGCAGAAAATAAATAGACACTTAGAGTTGAACGGAGGTAATATTATATTTTATATTAGTATTTTCTGGTATTATAAAAATTGCTACTCTAAAGAACACACTCAATATTAAAAGTAATAAAAATTAAAAGCAAATTGGTTTTGTTCAACAAATATAATGCTTATTATTATTATTATTATTAGAATTATTAAAAATACGATAAGTGCATAAATTTAAATTTAAATAAATATATAATATATATATTTTATCTATAAAAAAATTAATAATTAATAAAAATATTTTTTTATATTATTTTATATTTTTTCATATCAATATAAAAATACTTTAAATTCGAAAATATAAAACAAAATAGTTATGTGGGTTTTTTTTATGGTTTAGAAATTCATTTGAAATTAAAAATTGGTTTGAATTTTTGTTTAAAATAATATTTTGATTTGATATTTTTCAAAATAAAAAATAATTTATTTTAATTACAAGTAAATAGTATTTGTTTATTTAGTTTAGAATTTAGCACAAATCTCTTATATTTTTACAAAGAAGATAAATTAAATTTTTTAGGACATAGTAGGTGTGTTTTTTTTTGTATTTTTGTTTAAAGAATTTTTTTTTTTTTTTTTTTTTTTTTTTTTATGTGAAATATAGAAAATTATATAGGTAATATAGAGATAATGAGTGTATAATATAGTAATATTTTTTGAAAAAATATGTGTGAAATTTTTTTCAAAAGAAGCAAACTTGAAGTATTTTTATTTTATTTTTTATGATGTAAAGTATAAATAGTCGTATTCGTAATATAAAAACAGATATTTTAAAAGGGATGTTAATTTTTTCATGAAAAAATAAAATATAGGAGTATCTTTTTTTTGTTCCAAAAAAGAATGTGGTTGGTTTTTGCGTATAAATTTTTGAATATTTATTTTTACATTAATACATAATATAAATTCAAGAGATAAAATATAAAATATTTTTATTAATCTTTTATAATATAAATGATATTAGTGGAATAAATTATATTAAGGTAAGAAGGCTGGAGATTCGGCGCTAATCCGGCCAAGTCAGCATGACCAACATGTGTTTTTTATCCGAGCAAATCAGCATGACCAACATATGTTTATATATATCTTATATAAATATATTAAGATATGCATAGATATATGCTGATTACAATATTTTTAATCTACACTAAAATAAACAAACAACAGTCTTCTTATAGAATGAAAATAATATTTTATTTTATTTTTTCTAAATTCTAAATTTTCAATAAATTATGTTTCCAATACAAATAAATTTAAGAGAAAAAAAATTAAAATTTTTTTCAATATAAAATTTTTTTTTTTATCAATTTTAGTTCGAATATAAATAACTAATCATTTTAGTCTCATTGTAAATAATTTTAATCAATTTTGATTCCATATTTAAAAAATCAACGGAAGACACTCATGTGAAGCTGATCTAAAATAAACACAATTGTATTTATCCAAATACGGTCATGTTTAAATATTTAACCCCAGACTGACCAAAAATACAGGGCCGGAGTCAAATTCATCACCACCCTCAATCAAATCAAACTAATATGGCAATAAGAAGAAAACAAAAATACAGTTTGCCGGAAAATGACGTCATAATTTTGAGACTTTAGAACTATTATCCATAAAATCCCAAATTCATAGAGGATCTTTTGGCTTTGGGATTTTTAGCCTAAAAATCAAACTAATGGGAGAAAGATAGCCAGCTAGCTAAGGGTGTGCTATTGTGTAAATATGGAAATATAATTTGGATAGACAGTAAAAAAGAAGAAAAGAAACAAACGGAGAAGACGAGAGAATATGTTGTTCGATCTACCTATAAAATGGCCAAAAACCACCGATTTCCTTTATATGCTGTGTAAAATTTGAACGCGGCTGTGTATTTTTGGTCAGCCTAGTGTTAAATATTTAAACACGGCCGTATTTGGATAAACACAGCCGTGTTTATTCCAGGTCGGTTATTGTTACATTCACGTCAACGTTGATCTTTTATTGGTAAAATTAAAATTACTTACAATAAGAATAAAATTGATGAATTATTTATATAAAAACCAATACTCCCTTCAAGTAGTAAATATTTATTTTTGGTATAACGGTGACAAATATAATGTAAAATAAAGTTATTTGGGGAAAAAAAAAAATTATAATCTAAAATGTCAAAATATAATATATGTATTTTTGTAAAAGGACGGATGAAATAGAATGTTGGGGTGTGTTTGTTTGAGGATTTGAATTTTGAGTTGGGATTTGAATAGTAAAAATTTTAAATTTGAATAGTTGTATGATGTGATATAAATAGGTGTTGATGTGATGTTTTGAATGTAAAATTAATTATTAGTATAATATAAAAAATAAAAAATAGATGTTTGATTTGATGTTTTTTGGGGAGAAAATATAGGATGAATAGTAAAAATCCAAACAAATTCCTCAAACAAACACACCCTTGATGTTTTTTAATAAATTTAATTTAAAAATTAGCAATAAAGGGGTGGAAAGTGACAGCGGCGGTGGACCCAACAGCTGTTATCCTCAGCACGAAAATTCATTTTCGGAAATTTTTACGGAAAATAGAAAGAAGAAAGGAGCAGCCAGACAGTTATATCCGCCATTGTCAAACTCCAAGCTCCCCGATTTGCAGAATCCTCGAGGCTTTCGTGGCCAGTTGATCTCGATTCGGTGTAAGTAGCCGGATCTATGGCTGCTTGTTCTTCCATTTCATCCAAAAAAAAATTTGAAGTATTTTAGTTAGGTATTTGGCTGTATTTCTGTGTCAGCGTTTAGGCTGTGCTGTAATAGCTCATTTGGGGGGGATCTTGAGAGATTTTATATTTGCGTGGATATTTCTAGTTTGAGCTATTTTCTTATATTTTTGTTGTTGATGTTTTGTTTCCTAAATTTAATTTGTTTGTTTATGAATTTTTGTTTTGAGTTAGGGTTCTTCACGTGAGGTCGAATTTTCCATCTCCAAGGAAAAACACTCTGAGTAATTAAAACCCTATTTTCATCCCTGTGCTCAGAATTGGGAATAAATCGTTATTTGATGCAGGATATTTCTCCCGAAATGGATTGATTAATCTTCCTGATGAGGATTGTCTGGTTTTATCCCCTAATTATAATTATTAATAAATAATTATCTTCTATTAGTTCTTGGGGTTAGGGTTTGGTGGGGCTTGGAAAATGAAATGAAAATAAGAAAGGATTTTCTTTCTAGCTTCTGGAAAATTTGCTTCGCCAAATGTGTCCGTTTGTAATAATGGTGGGGTGGGTGGGGGTGGGTACCTTATTTCCCTTTCATCTTTTGCCTTGTCTCTAGACACTTGGCTGCTTATCCATTCATGAGCAACCGAAACTTGCCACAGCACTCCCCTGCAATAGTTGCCTCCATTAATTATTTGGCCAGACATGGAATAATTCCTATCCTGCAATTGGACAATTGGATTGATTTTTTTTGAGGACCTTATGATATGTATCTTCTTGCCTTTTGTTTCTTTCTGTGCAGTGGTTTTCTGTGGTCTATAAAATCAGTCCCTTTGTGGAGGGCATTTCGGATTTTGGGATTGAACTGCAGTTTTTGCCACAAAGTAAGTCATCTGTCTGTCAGTATGCATCTGTTCTGATCTTCTTGTTCTTTTCATTATGTGTCTTTCACTCAGATTAAAGCACACCATAGAGTTCTAGAATTTGAATTTCATTCGTGGCACAAGCCGTATAAGTTGCCTAAATCATTGTTTTTTTTTTCCCTTTAACATTCCTATGCAAGTATTCCATCAGTGAGATAATTAGAAGTTGGGATTTAGTCTAGACAGAGGTTATATCTAGTCAAGTAGTTAATGGCCATAAGGTTTGATAGGTGTTAAAGATTTTCAATAGTTTTAAGAGTATGGTTAGTTTATGATGATATAACTTTGTTCTGTACATCTCTTGTAATTTGATCCTAAAAGTAAAGTTTTCAATAAGTTATAATTGAAACATGTTTGATGAAGATATGATTAAATGAAAGAGTTTATGAGTAAATCCCATGTAGTAAACACACCCGTGGTGTCTTGAATCTTCATATAATGTTTTCAACTTTTTCAATGTGTATTCTTGCAACTCAACACGACTCGAGTAGTTCGAGCTATAGTCAATTAATTAGTTTACCTTACTATTACTACTCTTTTAGCATATGGATTTACTTGCAACTTGGCATATTTTCTTCGGAAATTGATGTTTACTTTCTCTTGCTGGTGTTCATAACAATTCGACTTAATTAAGGCTAATGATTTTTCATCAGACTTGGGCCAAAAAGATGGCTATTTCTTCGTATCCTACTCCTGCTGATGCTGGTGTTCTCTGCATAATTCTTGCGAACACGGCAATATCCATCTCCATTGTGAAAGAGATTGTCCGCTGTATTCTCCATGTGATCGGGATCCATATTTCGTCATGGGAGGAATTCTCAGTCGAGCCCTCTGGCTCATATGAATGCCGTAAAACTCCTTCAGCATCATACATGGAGGAGTTCAGAACCCGAACCCCAGCAATGCGATACGACTCAATTTACATATGCAATTGTCCCAAACAAGAGTGTTCCATCTGCCTAACAGAATTTGAGGCGAAGGCAGAGATCAACCGCCTGTCATGTGGCCATGTTTTTCACAAACCGTGCCTCGAAAAGTGGCTCAACTACTGGAACACCACATGCCCGCTGTGTCGGAATCACATGATATCCGAAGAAGGCGAAGAGGATTCCTGTCCCATGTGAGTTGTCTCTTTCGGATTTGTGGTTAGTGTGTACAGAGTTAGATTTTTGTGAATCTCGTATATTTCAGCTGCCAATGTTGTGCGTCCTCTCGTAGTGACGGGTCAGCGTGACTCTGTGCGTTTGTATATATTGTGAAAGGCTTTTCAATTTGAATGTCTGCCACTGCCTCTGCCTCTGAAGTGTTGGTTACATGTATGTATGTATGTATCTTAAGCAACAGTTAGTTAGTTGGTTGGTTATTCGTGTGTTTTATTTATTTGTCTTTGAGTTGAAGGACTTTGGGAACGAGCCGGGCTGAGTCGAGCTTTGTTTTGTGAATTGGGGCATGCCTTTTGTCAATTGTGTGTTTGTTGGAATATGGCAAAATTATATACTTGTGTTTTGAAAAATTTGCAACTTCCTCCTTTGTGATTGAAGAAGTGTTGTTCCATAAAATATTGCATAGTATTTTTTTTTTTTAAATTTCCATGATTCTTTTGTAGTTTTGAAAAAATTGTATATAAATTTTACTCTCCATCTTTAAATCATAAAGGAGAATGGTGGATTGTAATTTTTTATTTATTTTATTTAAATATAGTTGAATTATGGACAATTTTGCTGTTGAAGGACATTTGCTTCGTCTCGGGACTCACTTAGGAAACTCCTTTTTGCTTAATATTGAAACTCACTTAGGAATTGGTTGCGTTTGTTTGGGGGTTTGGAATTTGAGTTGGGATTTGAATAGTAAAATTTTTGAATTTGAATAGTTGTATGATGTGATATAAAAAATAAAAAATAGGTATTTGATTTGATATTTTTTGGGAGAAAAAATTGGATGAATAATGTAAATCCAATCCAATCTCCCAAACAAACACACCAGTAACTCTCTTAGTTTAGATTTATTTATAATTTTGAGGTGACCAGGGGTGTGTTTCGATTGAGTTTTAAATTTAAGTTATTATTATTAGGTAGGTACAGTAAAAAAAAAAATATTATTACTTTTTAAAAATATTATATTGAAATATATATATAAATCAAATTTTATTGTCAAACTAAAATCAAATTAAGTACTCATTTGATTATTTTTATTTGTATTTATACAAAAGAGTCACACCCTGATACCAATTTTTTTTTGAATTTTCATATAAATATATGGTAATATATAATTATTTTATACATAAAATATAAAAGATGAAAATATCAAAATTATATTATATATTTTCACTAATCAATAAAATAATATTATTTTTTAAATCAATTATGAAACAAAATTTATCTGTTAATGATCTTAAAATTTTTTTCAACAATTCGCAAATCGGTTAAATTTTCTCTATTACGAACGAATTGGTTGACCACGGATTACACACGAGTACCACGGATTGCAGTACTATAGTCTGATACACTTTCAAACTTCTTCATTTTTATGCTTTCCAACTCATCACAAAGAATTTGAAGGTGCACTTGGTTGACACGATCGACTCATTTGAATGTTCTTTCTAAAATGTCTCACTTTTTTTTTTTTTTTTTTTAAGTTGTTGCACCAGCAATCTTTTCAAAGCCCGACTCGTCTACAATTTGGAATAGCATGTAGATGCATTCTTATCTTTTGATTGAGTTTCTTTCAACGCCTTGTGTTGAACTACCGGATGTCCCTCTGTACTCGCCGGTTCTTCGAAACTTTTTTGAACTATCTCCCATGCATCTTGAGATCTAAGAAGTGCTTTCATTTGAATATTGCAATTCTCATAATTTGCCTTCATCAAACAGGGTAACGGCATTTGACCCATCACTTGCCATCAACTCTCATACAAATATGTAAAATATGAAATATGAAGAAATAAACACACACAAATGCAAAATACATAAATAATGGAAGCAAACACTCAAACACACAATTATAAATGCTAAAACATGAAGACAAAATAATTGCTTGGGTATAATAATTCTCACTTTTCATACCTTCAAAATACACCAACGGATTACACCATTTTCAAAGCACAAAAATACATTTGATACCACCCTCATTCAAACCATAATTTAATCCTAAAATAAATAGCATTATTATTATTGTGTAACCCTAGCTTTTAATCCAAACAAAACTCCCATGCATTAAATTTTTTAATACCCACTAAACACCCAATTTAACACTTAATTTAAATTACATTTAGGTTTATTCAACAAGTAGGATGGAATAATTTCTAAGTGCTACCAGAAGGTCTGATCGCATTAGAGGCCAAAAGAATATCACATTTTCCTTTGCAAAACCACTGTTTCAGGTTCAGAGAGTGCGGTCAGAAGTCCCAAAAATTGAGCAGAGTTCATCACAAATTCTGAAAATGGATTTCATGAAGGAATCTAGATGAGAAGTCTCTCGGTGCCAAATATTTGGAGTCCTAAAATAGTGATAATACATCCATTTTACCCATAAGAATTCTTTGTTCGAATGGAGAATCTAGAGAAATTTAGCAACTTTATTTATGGACGTGATAGAGGCGATGAATCCGTTGAAGTGACCAAGTAATGGTTTTCCAAGAGAAAAATTTAACTCCAAGTGATGGAGGGAAGCTTGAGAGAAACCCGTAATCGAGGTGTCACATAAGCGTCACTCGAGAAAGTTCCGGCCACAAGGATAGGATATTAGACTTAGTAATACTAATATTCAATCCAAAGACGCATCTCAAGTGCTCGACACAGTCCATAAGGGGGTACTCATTGAATGCACATCTCTATCGGAAAGGAGAATAATATCATCGGCAAAAGCCAAGTGCGTGATTGTTAACTCTAAGCATCCCGAGTGATGGTTTACATTCCGTTCACGGCATTTTTTCCTTAAGAGTTGCAAGAAATAATCCATGCATATAGTAAAAAGATAAGAGGACACGGTGTCACCTTGGCGAAGGTTTTCCTTTCGGCATTTTCGGCCTTGAAGTTAGACAAAGTTGATTAGCTTCTACTAATCGGGATTGTCTAGACTGATTTAAAAATATCCATAAAATCGGTGTGGGCTTTCCACATGCTAAAGAAACAAAAAGGAGTTTGTCTCTTATCTTTACGATCAAATATGGAAGCAATTCCCGGAGAGTGATCCGAGAACCCCGCGGGAAGAAATGAGGCGCTATTTAAGAAACTTGTTGAAGCCTAGAGGTGATTAACTATAACACTGTTAAGTTTAGTCCATACACAATGATTGTTTCGGGTGTAACGAGATACCGAAAAGGGGAGGTCGGAGGCCTATTTTATAACTTGTACTCTTTCTGTTCCGGAACTATAATCTTGGTTGGTTGTGTTGGGCAGATAAAAAGTATAAGTAAAAGACATTTTTGCCCTTACGAGTGTATTAGTGTAAAAGGTAGTGACAATTGTGTTATAATAATAAAATAGTAAGGGTAGTTTTACAGTGATATGGTTATTTATGGAAATAAGACTATTGTTTTGCAACAAACAAAAATAATAAACAAGACTGATGTATTAGTTTAATGATTTATATATTTATATTAAGCTTTTGTCTTATACTATATATTAATTTATTCCAATAATTTTATTTATTGCTTATTGTTTTCAAATTTTAAATTTATTGGTTTTTAGTTGTATTTTATAATTATTTGACGCATAAATTAATTAATTTGATGTGTTTCTTAAATCATGTATTTGGAATTATTTATGTATTATTTAAATATGCAAATTTAGTTCTGTTGGTTAATTAATATTTATGAGTGAGTATCTTTATTTAAAATAATTATTTATCGGGTGCTAATTTTTATGAAGTACAAACTACCTCAACAAAATCAATGAATTGTTGTTCAAAGAAAAACCAATGCTGCAAAATTGATCCTGGAAGCAAAAATTTTCGTGCATTCACCGGCTCTTTTTCAAACAAGTTTTCAATTCTAATATTATTATTGTTTTTCTTATGAAAATATCACTACAAAATTTATTTAAATTATTTTTATAATTTATTATTTTAATTTAAAATATAAATTCTATAAAAGAAAATACAACCCAATTTTTGTTTTGTTTTTTTTTTTTTTACTTATATAAAAAGAATACAAACTAAATTACTATATTACGCTTTTACATCAACACAACAACACAATTAATATCTATCGTATCAATAGTAATTAAACCCCTCAAAATTCACTTACAAATCTAAATAAATAAATTCAATTTCATCTTAAAATTCAAATTTAATACAAAACGCAAACTCAATTTTTCCAAATTTACCCAAAATCCCTATATTGAATTTATTACACCATGTTGAATTTATTTTTGCTTGTAGTTGCAAAATATCTACATAATTATATTTATTTCTAGTTGAAAATAAAATTCAAAGTACTCTCTATGGGTTTATTTATTTATAAGGTTTTGATTTTGAATACTAAAATTTTAAATTGAAATGGTGGTATAATGTGATGTAAATATATAATAAAATATGTTTGGTTGTGGTTTGAAATTGACTTGAAGGTGTTGATTTGTATTTTTATTTAAATAGTATTTTAATATGATATTTTGTGAGAGAAATAATATTTTTTTATTGAAAATTCTGCCAAATAAATAGTATTAATTTTGGTTTGAAATATTAAAATAACAAACTATTTTGAATAATTTTAGCCTAATATGATAAATTAAGAATAAATATTTAATTTTGATTTTTTTTGAGAAAAAAATTAAAAAGTAAAATTACCCTCAAAATCTTACAAGTAAACAAACTCTATTTGTTTGTGAATTTTTAACTTACTATTTATCATTTTTTTTTTCTCTAAACATATCAAATTAATTTTCTTTTTTATAATATACTAAAATAACATTTTAGTGTTAAAATATTATATTAATATTTCTTATATCGTTTCAAACAAGTGTTCAAATTTAAATTTTTTACTATTTAAAACTTTAAATTCAACTTCAAATATCACAAACAAACGCATCCTTGACATCCCAATTGAGAGCATCTTCATCCAAAAAGTTTCTTTGTTTACCTTGCCAATTGCCATTACTTATTTTTATTATACAATCTTTGCATTTGTCCATACAAATAAATTATTTTGTTTACACATAAAATTAAAAATTAAAAATCACAAATAAATTACTCCTGTAATCCCACAAGAATAAATAAACAAATAAAAAGGATCAAGCGTTTTAATTTAGAAAGATTTTTGAAAATGAAGAATCAAGATTGACAGTCAAAAAAAATAAATCAAGATCATACCTAGAAACCAGATAAGGGGCGATGGATGCCCGATTGGAGATAAGGGCGAGCAACTCCCAAGCCACGAATGAATGCAGGAGTCGTCTGGACTGACGCAGAAGTTTTCTTGGATGCAAAAATCATCTGAACTAATGCT